GGAAGAAAACAGCGGGGCTGGAAACAGTAGGAGCAGTCACATACCTAACTGTAAACACAGTTTCTGTGTAGACATTTTTGTGCTCTGATAAAGCCATTTTTATGGATAGACTATAGTTATGTCTCTTCTATATCAGATTGGGACTTTTTATGGAGAGTCTTTGAGCCAGAGTTAAAATTGTTGTAGTCCACCATAGACTTTCCTTGCTTCCTTAAATCCTGATCTGAAAAAGTACTTATTGACCGACCCAAGGATATTTAGACCTTGAGTTCTGTAACTTTGAGAGATTATTATGTGTGTATATGTGTATGTATATAAATATATGTAGAGAGAATATGATCATCTCTACAAAAGTCTAGAATAGCATTTTCTATTTTTTTGAGAGCTCTTTTATTTTTTAAATTTAATTTTATTTAAATTCAGTTAATTAACATGTAGTGTGTTATTAATTTGAGAGGTAGAGTTTAGTGATTCATCATTGCATATAACACCCAGTGCTTATTACATCATGTGCCCTCCTTGATGCCCATCACCCAGTCACCCCATCCCTCCACCCCCTCTCCACCAGCAACCCCTTTTGCTTCCTGTGAATAAGAGTCTCTTCTGCTTTGTCTCCCTCTCTGATTTTGTCTTGTTTTATTTTTCCCTCCCTTCCTTCATGCTCCTCTGTTTTGTTTTTAAATTACACATATGAGTGAAATCATATGGTAATTGTCTTTCTCTGATTGACTTATTTCACTTAGTATAGAACACTCTAATTCTATCCATGTCATTGCAAATGGCAAGATTTCTTTTTTTGATGCATAGTATTCCGTTGCATATGTATGTATAGCTAGCTAGCTAGCTAGATAGACACACATCACATCTTTATCCATTCATCCATCAATGGACATCTGGGCTCTTTCCATAGTTTGGCTATTGTGGACATTGTTGCTATAAACATTGGGATGCATGTGCCCCTTCAGATTACTACATTTGTATCTTTGGGATAAATACTCAGTAGTACAATTGCTGGGTCATAGAGTAGCTCTAGTTTTAACTTTTTAAGGAACATCCATATTGTTTTCCAGAGCAGCTGTACCAGCTTGCATTCCAACTGGAAGTGTAAGAGGGTTCCCCTTTCTCCACAGCCTTGCCAACATGTGTCGTTCCCTGACTTACTAATTTTAGCCATTCTGATTGTATTTTTTTTTTAAGATTTTTTATTATTTATTTGACAGAGATCACAAGGAGGCAGAGAGGCAGGCAGGGGAGGCGGGGGTGGGGTATGGAGGGAGCAGGCTCCCCGCCTAGCAGAAAGCCCGATGTGGAGCTCGATCCCAGGATCCTGGGACCAGGACCTGAGCCGAAGGCAGAGGCTTTAACCCACTGAGCCACCCAGGTGCCCCTCTGACTGTATTTTTTAAACATTTTTTTGGGGTGGCAAAATATATATAGCATTAAAGTTGCCATTTTAACCATATTTAAGTGTACAATTTGGTGGCGTTAATTTCATTCACAGTGTTGTACAACCATCACTATGACCTATTTCCAAATTTTTTCATCACCCCAAACAGAAACTCTGCACGTTAAGCGGCAGCTCCCCATTCCGTCCTCCCCAGCACTGGTGTAACCTCTAATCTGCATTCTTTATCTCTGAATTTGACAATTCAAGATAAGTTATAAAAAAAAGGTCATGCAGTATTTGTCATTTTGTGCCTGGCTTACTCACTTAGCACAGTGTTTTCAAGGTTCATCTGTATTGTAACATGTATCAGAACTTAATCCCTTTTTATAGCTAAATTAATATTCCATCGTATTCATATATCACGTTTTATCTGCCCATCAGTTGATAACACTCGGGTTGCTTCTATGTTTTGGTTATTGGGGATAATGCTGCAGTGAGCACTGGCCTACACGTCTCTGTTTGTGTTCCTAGAGTGGCATTTTGCAAACTGAGAAATACATAGATTCTTTATATAGAAATATTAAGTCATCTGTATTCCTGACATTGATTAAAATTATTATTTCAATGTAACTTAAGTATATACAATATAAAATGAAGAACTACTTATGCTTTTTTTTTTTTTAAAGATTTTGTTTTTAAGTAATCTCTATACCCAACATGGGACACAAACTCACAACCCCGAGATCAAGAGACCCATGCTCTGGTGACTGAGCCAGCCAGCCTCACCGGAACTCCTTATGCTTATAGCTTTTGTAAAATCAAAACCAGTTTTTCAGTTAAGTAGAAATAAAAGCATAAAGTCAACATAACTAAAATGAACAATTTTCATCAAATTACATTTACTGAAAAATCACTTTTGTTGATGTCAATAGTGTAAAAAGATACTTTTTTTTTTTTTTTTGGCACAACGGACCGTTATAGTTAGCCTTCATCACTAGTATGTTTCCTTAAGTGAACTTTTTAAACCACTAATCCATTATTTTGATGGACAGTCTACTTGCTAAAGTATTCCAAAATATAAATCTGGAAAACAACAATTTAAAGAAAAGCTTTTTGTTACTGTAACAGTTGCATTAACGAACTGTTGGCAAGCAGGTGCCTGTAAAGGCAAATCTACAGAACACACCCACTTGCTGTCAGATGCTGATTGCTACAGCCTAGATTTTAGTCACTTGCGCAATCCCACGGTTACTTCTGTTGGAGCTTGCTAGAGTAGGTAACATCATGATATTACTTGATCTTCCTTTATTGCAAATACCACTTATTTATTTAGCCTATTTCTGCTTATTATAAGACCATTTCCATGGAACTAGTACAGCACTCTATAAAGTCTTATGTTGTTTTTATGTTAAATTCTTAGTTTGTTAAATTAGAACTGAAAGTCTTACTCTGTGAAAATGTCTTTTACTTCCAAATTATACCACAAGAATTTAGTTTTTCCTAACTGTAAAAAAATTTTAAATGAGCATAACAATGGGACACAAAATAATGGTTGTTATTTTAACATCTGCATATGTTTACCAGCACTTGAAAGATAAATTCTGTCTCTCCAAGGCATTACTTGGCAATATCTTAAATGTAAACATGAAAATTAGCTGGAACAATGAAAATCTCATCTGGTGCTGAATTATAAAATGGCCATCCAAAGATTTAGAAATTCTCTTTTTTTTTTTTTTTTTTTTTAAGTTCTACGCCCAACGTAGGGCTCGAAATTACAACCTGAGATCAAGTGTCACATGCTCTATTGACTGAGCCAGCGATTTTTAATGGTCACAGAATTTAGATACCCCAAAGAATTCACCAGAACATACCATGGGATAACATTCCCGTTTTGATAAACACTGGTCAAACATTAGTGCTTGTCTTGCATTAAATTCTAATGCTTTACTGACAAAGAGTTGATCCGTGTTAAAAATAGGGAGGCTTATGTTTTCCAAATTTCACATCATATAAACTTTTTTTTTTTTTTTAAGATTTTATTGTTGAAGGGGGAGAGAGAGAGCACAAGAGGGGTGAGAGGCAGAGGGAGAAGCAGACTCCCCACCAAGCAGGGAGCCCTACTTGGGACTTGATCCCAGGACCCCAGGATCATGACCCAAGCTGAAGGCAGACATATGCTTCACCAACTGAGCCACCCAGGTGGCCCTCACACGAACTCTGTCTTAAGAATAAAGTTCAGTTATTATATCCTAATAAGAATAGAATTGCCATATGGATGAATAATTGTCTTGCTCAATTAATGTATTTTCTTTCTACTTGGAAAGCTAAACTATGGGAAGAAGGTTGTTTGAGGAACACAGAACCTCTGTATACAGTAGGCACTCAGAGAGTGTGAGAGGGGTGTTTTGATCGCTCCCTTCAGCACCTGTGTCACTAAAAGGAAAACACTGGCAAAGAAATCTTGATAAATGTCTCATCCAGTCAATAATTTTCCTTTCTCTTGATTCCATATTGACCCCATGCCAACACTTAAACTTCTGTTTTGTACCTAGTTATACCACCTTAAAAATAAGTTTTGCAGTGTTTTTAAGAAATCTCAATTCTTACCGTGACAAAAAATTTGTAACGAATAATACTGATTTACATTGTGCAGATTCCCAAAGGGGAGTCCCCTTTCTAACCAAGCCCTGTTCATTCTTCTTTAATTGCTTACCTAGAATGGGGAATTACTAATCTCCTGTTTACTTACTGCCAATAATACGCTTTTCATTTAAAAATATTGAATTTTTTTGTACCTAAGTGATTTTGTATCTAATTGTATTTATAATTCTTGATTACCTGTATTTTGTCTCCACAAAGGTAATAAGTACATGTGATTGAGTTAACTTAGAGAATGCCCTTCTTACAGACATTAGCAGATATACACTGCAGTATCTCTGTTTTTTCATTTAAAAAATTAAGTTTATTATCTTTTTATAATGTCACTCTGCAGTAGAGTTTTCTGGTATTTAATACATTTCAGATGTAAAGTACAGCTTCCCTACTTGCCAGGTCACCACTGAAGGTCAGGAACCCACCCTTACATCCTTTTCAGGACTTTGCTGTATATAGTACAAGAGCAAAAATATATTTTGAATGATTTGATAAATAATATCAATGGGTATTACCTGAACCTGTTTTAGCAATAGTTCAGAAATCCTCTGTTAATTTGGTGATGACTCTTCATCCGACCAGTAGAAGTTCGGTCTCCTACAAGAGACATGATGCAGAATGAAAAAACACATTCAACTATTAGGAAGAGGGCTTTTCTGTAAACAGATAGGGCCTCTCACCTCGCCGCCACCCTCTTCACTACCTGTCATGCTGGCTTGCTGGACGAACCCCTGCTTCTGCCCCTTCAGCCCCATTTCCTTTTTAAATGTCGGAAAGTTTCAGTTGAAATTCTCAAACTTTTAAGAAGGCTGCGAAACAGAGTTCTATCAGCAGTACATACTTGTTGAGCACGTATCTATCTTTGTAAATGTCTGTAAAAGGAAATTGAATGGGCAACCTATTTTAGGAGACTTTTATAAATGTGAAATCTTCTGTAACTTTGTATTTGATTTTCGTGCAGGCAGAAATACTCAGTGTCCTCAGTCACAGAAACATCATCCAGTTTTATGGAGTAATTCTCGAACCTCCCAACTATGGGATCGTCACAGGTAGGCACGCATTATTTGACTTCTTTCTTTCCCCAGTTACCTAGCTTTTGATTCCTTAATATGCTAAAACACTTAATATGAGGTTCAGTCATGAATTGTGCGCTACTGTCAGGTGTCACTTTTGTTGCTATAAAGCATTAATAAAACTGATTATATCAATATAATTAAGAATGGTGCTTCCACTTCTACCCATGTTTAATTGTGCTAATTATATCTGCGTAAATGCTATTTAAATGCACTCGCAGCTGCAATACCAATATTTAAAGGTGCCGTTTAACTAAAATTTCATTTAATTAGCTGAAATGAGCGATGTTTTTTGTAACTCTGTGACCTTTTACAAATTAAGATTTCTTGAGCTGTTCATGTTGTAATTCTTTGCAAGGTATTTTAGTCCCATTAGAGCGTTCTTTCTTCAAGGTCTCTGACGTGAGAACAGTATTTTTCAGGTTTGGTCATCTGGGCTGGTAATGACCTTGATCTAAATTATCACATTTGGAGTGGCGGTTTATAACTGATGGGAATATCCTTTCCAAAGAGGAGCACACAGAAAATTTTGCCATATAAAAACAAAGACAGACGCATATTTTTAATACTTTGTACTCGTATTTATACAATCCAGTGAGCAGCTTTAGGTTCATAATAAGTATCATGTTCAATTTATAGTAAGTAACTTTGGTCAGGTTCTTTAGTGTGGCTGTTCTTTGATTAAAGCAAAACCAACCAGAAAACCTCCAAGATTATCCCCCTCTTCTTCTGCTGTAGTGTTAACTACTTGGATTGTCTTTACAGAGAATAACAACAAAACATCGTCCATAAAGAGCTGTGAGTTAGGTACTCTTTATAAATGATCTCTTCTGATACTTACACTGACCCCATGAGATAGGTAAAATAATTTCTATGAATAATTTTTATAAATAAGAAACTAAAACTCTAACTTAAGTACCTTTCCCAAGGTCATCCAGCTAGCGGTAGAACCGTTGGTATAAATTTCTCAGGTTGATCTTACACAGAGGCTCCTCGTCTTGTCTATGGGCTAGTTCCAGAAGGCTGAGTACACTGGTTCTTACCTGCCTAGGGACATGGTTGCTGTTACTTCTACCTTCGAGCAGCGAGCAGTTTAACATGCTTTTACTCTGATAAACAGCATTTTTACCTAAATTCTTAAGTGGAGGGAATTTTATCACCATTCTGCTATGTTTAGATCTATGCCTTAAAACGGGGTAATGTGGCAGCTTTCAGTCTTGAGCCTGTATATTTCCTATTAACCTGGATATCTAAGAATGGGTTATATTATTAGTGTATAAACCACATTTAATCTTTTAAGTCATATTTCTGATTTAAAATTAAATCCTGTCCCTGACTCACTTGCCATATTGCTTCCCCTTTCCTAGTCCATTGTATTTGCTTTTTACTAGTTAGGTTTACCTTAAAAACCTGAATCCAGTTTTCTTTTCTTTTTTTTTTTTTTTTAAGATTTTATTTATTTATTAGAGAGCACCAGTAGGGGGAGGAGCAGAGAGAGAGGGAGAAGCAGACTCTCCACTGAGCAGGGAGCCCGGAAAAGGGCTCAATCTGAGGACCCTGAGATCATGACCTTAGTCCAAGGCAGACGCTTAATGGACTGAGCCCCCGCCCAGGCGCCCCTGAATTGAGTTTTCTGATCCTTGTTTGTGGCTTAAGTTACTAGTGAGTAGATGAAAGTGTGGTGCTCCAAAGAGATTAGAAACTGGGGTTCTGGTCTTGTAGTCTTAGCCTAATTAAACCCTTTGAGTGGAAGACTTTAGCTTTAATGAATTCCATGGACTATTCATGAAGTCTTGTAGTTTCTTGAGGTAAGGCTGAGTAGAAAAAGGGACTGAAGTCATGGTGTGAATTCCTTTTTCCAAGAGTTTTTTCTGAGTCCCGGGAGGATGTGAGGGACACTCACCGTTAGCCAGCATACTCAACCCAGGTCTTCTCATTCAAAAGATGAAGAAAGCATCCAAGGACTTGGGTGAGAAAGTTTGATTTCACTTAGTTATTTTATGGACTAGCCAGTCCTTTGTTTCATGCATCTTTACCTTCCACAAATCTTTGGTTGTAATTGATTAGTTCTTTTTAGATCTATAACTGTTTCCCCATAGAGTCAAGAATAAGCAACTGTTAGCATTAAATATTTTTTTTTAAAGATTTTGTTTATTTTTTTGACAGAGATCACAAGTAGGCAGAGAGGCAGGCAGAGGGGGAGGGGGGAAGCATGCTCCCCGCTGAGCAGAGAGCCCAATGGGGGACTTGATCCTGGGGCTCAATCCCAGGACCCTGAGACCATGACCTGAGCCTAAGGTAGAGGCTTAACACACTGAGCCGTCCAGATGCCCCAACATTAAACATTTCTTTAAAACCATACAAGTTTCACAATTGTCAGGAAATAGTAAATTATTTATTTATAGCTCTCTTATTGACCTGTGAGGTTGATTTTTAAAGATACTTCTTAGCCAAGTTTTGGTGTTTTAAAATGTATTATTTTGATAAGGTTAATTTTGTTTCTGGAGATGCTAATTTTAATTGTATGTTTACAAGTATCTACCAAAGAAATATCTGAGCTCTTCAGACCACTTCCTGCAGCTTAAAGATCAAGCCATGTTCTGGGCATACATGCAAACTGAGCCTAGTCTGGGGGCTTAGATGGGCTGGGGATGACAGCACTTCTGCCTCTTGAAATGGACAAAAATAGGTCTAATATGGGGAGGTTAAGGGAGAAAAGAGAGACAAACAGGCAGAGAGACCTTGATCACTCAGCTTAGCCAGCTCCCCCTCTTTTGAACTCTGTCATCTTCCTCAGATTTTGGGGTTCTGTGAGGGGAAACTTGAATGACTTGAATCCATTCCACTTGAGTTTGTTCATAGGAAAGGTTGTTGCAGGAAGAAGCTGTTGGTGCTCAGATGAGGGACTTGGAAGAAAATTTATCAATCAGAATAGAATGTCCCTGGGAATTGGGAGATGGGTCTTGTCCTGATTCTGCCAAAGCTGCATAGATGGGTCTGATGATCTGTGTCTCCGTTTTCTCCTATGTGAATGAAGGGACTAGAGTAGATGATTCCAGGGTGGGAGTGTGTATGTTTGTGTGCACGCCCCTGTGTGCGCATGTGTGCCGAAACTTTCCATCACAGACCTAGAAAACCTGCTTATAGGGGGACCCAGGGAAGAGTCCAAGAGGTAGCTGCCACTTGGTTTCCCTTGGAGGGGAAGTGAGCATATTTCCCCTAGATCCACAAAGAAATGGAGTGACCAGAACCTCAGACTCCAAAGTCAAAAGAAACAATTCAATAATGGATCAAGTTTTCTTTCATCTTTGGAAACCTCTTAATTCTGTACTACTCCCATTCTTTTTTTTTTTTTCCTTTTCTTTCTTTCTTTCTTTCTTTTTTTTTTTTTTTACAAGTATTTACACAAATACTTGATGGTGGGGAGTGTAATGGTAATTTACTCCTGGGAGGGAAGGTGTTATACACTGGGTCACGTGGTTCTTTTGGAGCCAGTTTGGAGAGGAACGCTGCACAAAGTACCTGGAGGCAGACTGGGTCCCAGGACTCCAGAGGAAGGTGGCTGAGGGTCTCAGGGCCTGCGGAATTACATCTTTGTGCTCTACGGCTGCTGTCACCTCTTAAATTTGTTACTAATTCTACATGACCTCTTACCACTACTCTCAGACAGGATACTAGTTCTATATGATTCTTTGACAGACCCAAATCCTCATTAAAACTCAAGCATGGAGGGGCGCCTGGGTGGCTCAGTGGGTTAAGCCTCTGCCTTCGGCTCAGGTCATGATCCCAGAATCCTGGGATCGAGCCCCACATCGGGCTCTCTGCTTGGCGGGGAGCCTGCTTCTCCTTCTCTCTCTGCCTGCTGCTCTACTTGTGATCTCTCTCTCTCTCTCTCTCTCTCTGTGTGTCAAATAAATAAATAAAATCTTTGGAAAAAAAAAACTCAAGCATGGAAAACATTAATTTTTAAGTGCCTGATTTCATTTCCTTGAACTCAGTCTTGATGTATTTCAGTCACAGACACATCTAATTTGCATGTTTTGATGTTGTGTTGATCTTATTAGCCAATTAGAAATAAATGTCACGTTTTGTTAAAACAAATTCCAGACATTTACCTAAATTCATTTGTACTATTTGTTATAATCCAAATTAAGTTTACTTGGTAATATTATAAAGAGATTTTTGTGATAATGGCGTTTGTTTCAATAAGATTATGACTATATGTTTACATTTTTCTTTTTCCTTTTTTAATGTTTACATTTTTCGAAGCCAGCTATGGTTTCCATAAAACTAAAAGGGAAAAATTAACTTAGAAATCAAAAGGAAATGTTTCCTTAATATGGTTCTTAATGACCCTTTTTAAAATGAATTAAAACAAATGTTTTATTCCAAAGTCCAATAAACTGTGTTCTAGGGGGAAGTGAAGTGGTTTTTAAAGCATATATCATGTGTGTATAAGATGGGTCCTTAGTTTGTGATGAGAAGACAAAAAGGATGAAATAATTATATGCCTTTTTAAAATGGTTTACCTACCAACATATTTAAAGATCATGTTTTATATGAAATAGTATAATCGTACTGCCTTTCTTGCACCCTCACATTTGTGAAGCAATTTCATTTCATAATGTATCTTCCACATCTATGTTTTTTTCATTATCTGAACCCATTTTTAAATTATCTTAACATGGTTTTCAAAAAAAAAAAAAAAAAAATTAACATGGTTTTCAAAGTACATCTCCAATGGGAAAACACTGAGCTGTGTGTCTCCTCCACTCCCAGTACTGTACTTCATTCACTTCAGGTACTTCTGGTCACCAAGTGTGTGATAGTTTCCCCACACCAAGTGAGTCTGTGAGACCATCTGGGTATTCTACAGTTTAATTCACTTCTAACATGATCTACCTAGAGATAGTGTCAGATACCACAGGTTAGGGTTCAGTCCTGCAAGAATTCCCCTCCCCCCAGCAGATGCCAGT